CAACTGAAATCCCGCTCCTCCGTGCTCCTACGCGGCCATCTCTGGATTAACACTTTGAGATAAACTCTTACCTAGACAAGAATGTTATCTACCACACGAACCGATATGCAATCTCACTGCCTCGATTGTCTGTCTCCTGCCACAAAGTCACCAGGAACAAGTTTACCCAAAGAAAGCTCTTGATCCAGCCTTGAGAAAACAAAGACTCCAGTGGAAGAATTCTGTGCTATTAAATGGTTACTCTGGGGATGGACTGTCATCCTCCCTGTAAAGGACAGAAGAATGCAATGAACTCAAGTACAGCGCGGTGCTTCGTGCTGAAATAGCTCCCTGATAGGCAAGTTCCAACAGAACCCGGGTTCATGACCTTAACTAAATTACTTCTATAGAGAGTTTTTGTTAAAAATTATCATTTTTTCTCTTCATTAATTTTGAAATGCATTTATTTACCTAACTGTCCATGATACATATTAGTATTTTAGGAATAAAACAAGTAAAAGGATTGTTTGCCAACCTGTAAATGAGCAACACACATATTTCTTAGAAGACTATAGTTTACCTTGCTTATCCAAACTAAACGTAACTGGGGAATGTAACTAACTTTAGTTAAGGTCTAAGTTCCAGAGTGCTCGCTAATTGTCTCCAGTTAACTTCTGATTTCAAGGTGCAGGCTTAACTTTATCCATCACAAATTACTTAAAAAATTAAGTTTTTCAGTGTCGGCCACAGTGTTCCAGTAATTAATCATAGTTATTGGTAAAACTAATAGCACGCTACCTTTAACTTCTAGTAGAATTATTCTCAAATCTGACTTTTCTATATCATAAATGTCCTATTATATTTTTTAATTCTTTATGACTAAAAAATAGCTTATTAATATTATGGTAAATAATACTTTTGGAAGGCGTTCAAAGTCATGAAATCAATAGATGATGTAGTTTTCAAATTCCAAAAGATCTGGAAAACACTGCTCTAATACCTTTCAGCCAAAGACCTACTTGGAAGGGACAAGTTGGAAGCTGAAGAGCTTATGAAGACGTGTATTCATTACGTGAGGTGTTGACATCCTGCACAAGGTACACTGAAGAAGCAGTGTGGGGGGAGGGCAGTGGAGAGAAGGTTTTTTTTATCTGCCAGGAAATAACTGGTACCTGTTTTATACTGGAAACCCTGGTGGCATAGTGGTTAAGTGCTATGGCTGCTAACCAAAAGGCTGGCAGTTCAAATCCACCAGGCGCTCCTTGGAAACTCTATGGGGTAGTTCTACTCTGTCCTGTAGGGTCGCTATGAGTCGGAATTGACTCGACGGAAATGGGTTTGGTTTTGGATATTATACTCCTAGGAATCCCTGGATGGGGCAAACAGTTAATGTGTTCAGCTATTAACCAAAATATTGGAGGTTCAAGTCCATCCAGAGGCACCTCAGAAGACAGGGTTGGCCATCTACTCCTGAAAAATCAGCCACTGAAAACCCTAAGGAGCACAGATCTACTCTGATTCACAGAGGGTCACCATGAGTCAGAACTGACTCAATGGCATCTGGTTTGACTTTTTTATCTTATACGAATTTTCATCTTACACTATATATATATGTGGAAACTCTGGTGGAGTAGTAGTTAAGTGCGATGGCTGCTAACCAAAGGGTCAGCAGTTCAAATCCACCAGGCGCTCCTTGGAAACTCCATGGGGCAGTTCTACTTTTCTCTGTGTACCTTTTAGTGTCTTTTGAATTTTCTACCATACACATGGATTGCCTATTCAAAAATACGATTTTTTTAAAAAGTTATTTGATTCCTAAATAAAAGTATTTATTTCAATTTAGCTCAACTAAGTGGCCATAAACTGCCAGGAATATTGTAAGACAATGAACACACAGATATGAACACAATAGTCCCTGTCCTCAAGAAGCCCAGGCTAATGGGTGAGGCAGAAAAGCGGGCCAATTATTCACACGCTAAGTAAAACAAGAGAGAAGTACAACAATAGCGTTAAGTGCAGGGAGCACCGGGAGTCCAGGGAAGGCCACCTAATGAGTAACTCAGCATAGACGGTACTAGGAAGGTTTGCCAGGGTTTTAGAACCCAAACGGAGACTTGTCCAACACTTTGCCCCCATGTGCCAAGTGGTGAGCTATGGGGAGGTACAGGGTGCCCAAGATAATGAGCCTCAGCTCTGGGGCGGCAGGCCAGCTGGGGTACCAGTAGCCTCAGTGTACCCCAATGGGACACATGACTATCACCTTGTGTGTACGTGCTAAGACGGGTGTGGAAAGCGTTAGTCTCAGCCCGTAGGAAGGGCACAGGAAGGGCGAGGGGCGTGAAAAGGGCAGACACAGAGGAACGTGAGGACGCCATGCTTGGGGCACACCCGGCAATGTGCTAAGGCAGTGGTGGGCAACGCGGGGCCGTGGAAGGGGCAAGGGCAAGGTCCAGGAGCATCTACCTTACCCTAACCGCTGTGGGGTGTCAATGGAGACTTTTAGACAAGGCTGAGCGTGGTTACCCAACAGTGCTTAGGAAAATGGCAGGGCTGAGGAGAAGAAGAGAAGTGTCACACTATTTCATGGGAAAAACGAACAACTCTTGGCCCAAGTCAGCAGTAGGGACAAAAAACAGGGCACGGCTGCCGAGAACTTTAGGAGGTAAACTCAACAGGTCTTAATGATCACATGGACACAGACAACGATCGGGGTGGGGAGAGTCCAGGACAAGGAGCAGGCAGAGCCAGCTCGACAGTAACGGCAGTCACGGTCTTCTCAGCGCCTGTGACACACCCCACACTGTGCTACCAGTGTCCACGTATTATTCCATCACATCGATCCTGTTCATTTTATAGCTAGGAAGGTGTGACGTTCAGAGCTGCCCAATGTCACAGCTAGTCAGCATGATAGGTCTGGCATTTGAGCCAAAGACTATTTGATTCCAAAACTCAGACTCCAGATTTTGAAATGGTTATGCATCCCAGAGAGCAGACCTTGGAAAGGGCCTCCCCAACAGCAGTGTATAAAATAATAATAACGGTGATGGTAGATAGTGTTCTAACCGTGTACCAGGCACATTGCTTATGTTATTTCATTTAATCATTCACATCCTTTCAAGGCGGTTACTATTATTATTTCCATTTTGCAGACGATGAAACTGAAGCATCAAGGATCATAACCTTGAAATAACAAGCGATCATATAAACATTTTATAATCTTGGCTTATAAAGCAATACAATTGTAAAAGTGGTACCAGACACCAGTGTATATTCAGTATCTCAAAAAAAGAAATGGGCTAAAGTCTGGGAAATGCAAGAGGTAGGCAGTGATGTTTTTACTACACAGATTCTTGTTTCCAACTGCTAAAATCAATAGTTTTTATTGGCCCTTACTTGGGGAATATAGCTACAGAAAAGAACCATGCGCCCTTGATATCCACTACACCCACACATTTTACTGCGGAGTATGTACATGCTAGATTTGAATACCACTTCGTTTAGGAGAAGGAAGTGGATTTTCTTCTATTATATAGTTTGTTTTTTTTCTATACTTGAAATTGTCTATTTTTACTTGGGGGGGGGGGAAGGATGGTTTAAAGCAGAAGAGATGAACCAACCCATTAAGTGACTATAATTCTATGTAATAGCCAGCTACGGACTTCACATTATTGTTGGAAGCATACCACCTCTTATCATACGGTTAGGAACAGCTCGCTTTAAACTGGTTTCATTTCAAAGGGAATTGAGTCATTGGGTCCCATCCTGTGAGTTGTAAGCTTACCTAGAGAGGCTTCAAAATGACCTAGGGCTCCTGAGCATCTCAATGCCATTAGATAATGATCATTTTCACCCATATAAGCACCAGACAGCTGACTCAGCAGATGATATACAGGTCAGGACTATTATGATTGTATTGATACCATTTCACTAATCACTCATGCTATATACAAGAGACAAAACAATTACTTAAAAAAAAAAATCAAAACTCCCTCAAAGATGTTTGGCAGGAAAGGCACTGTTAGTGGGATGGGGCTGGGAAACCGCCCTCTGCCTTCCAGTATATTCTGATTCACGGCCCCCTACATGTGGTACAGTAGAACTGTGCTCTGGAGGGTTTTCAATGGCTGATTTTTCGGAAGGAGATCACCAGACCGTTCTTCAGAGTCACCTCTGGGTGGACCTTAACCTCCAAACTTTCTCCTTAGCCATTTGCACCGCCCAGGGACTTCAGGAAATATAACTGTGTGGTGACTGACCCCAAGGCTCCGGCTGTGACAGTTTCCCGCAGCATCTCCAAGCAGGAAAACCCCATGCTGTCCCACTTTCTCCAAACACCATTCATAACCGCCAAAACCAAAGTGCCCTGAGCGGCACCGAAAACACGCAGGGCCCCTCCTCGGCCTGGGACTTTCAATTTCTTAGAACAATAACGCTGAGCCAACCTCGTTCTCCACACTGTGGGAAACCAGGATGTGTTCACTTTCAGCAGCCTGATCGAAATGAGTTAGGCTTGGAGAGGGTCAAAAGCCTTCTCTCCCGAAAAGCAGCTGCTTTCACCGACAGCTATGTAAATGTCCCGGGTCCGCGCAGAGCCCGGCCGCGCTATTCAAAGCGGCCTTACCAGCTCCGGTCCAGTGCTTTCATCGTGAACGCTTGAATGAATGAAACGGCCTCTTTTCTGCAGAGTCCACAGCTCAGCACAATTCCAAGCACACAGTTTTCCCACGACTGGAGTTCACATTTCGCCTACCTACTTTTGACCTGTACTTGTTTTTGTTTGTTTTTAACGAAATTTGCATTTGTGAGCATATGCCCATTGGCATGAGTTGAATACATTAAAATGCTTTCAAGAAATACGTGTGACCTCCTCACCAACAAGAAGCAGCGCTGGTAATACTTAACCCTGTGGGTAGAGTTGGAGGCGGTGTCCGCGGAAAGGGGAAGAGAGTCTCTTACTCTCCCAGCATGGACAGAAATCTTGAAAATTCGCCCCGGGTTTCTGCTTTCCCCAAACCTTGCACCAAGAGCCACTGCACGGGGCAGCGAGCAGGCAAAGTCCGCCCTTCGCAGCGTCTCCTTGGCCTCGGAGTGACCGCGGTCTAACTCGCGCGCGGGACCAGCGGGTCTGGCCACTTGGGAGACCGCACAAAGAGCGAAGCGCAGGGGGACGCATCTGGGCCCTGGACGCCATCCGGAGACCCGGACAGCGAGGGGCGCGCTTCTCACTTGGTCTCTCCCAACGCGGCACCCGGACCGCGAGGAGCCCAGAGGAGCCTGCCCTGTCCCCCCGCGGACGATCCCGCAACCCGCCGCAGGGCAACGAAGACGACCTAGGCGAATTCCTTTCCCATTCATTCCCCTGCTCCCGGGTCAACGCCCGGCCACCCCCTCCCTCCGCGCGACAGTCTGAGCGGGGGACTGACGCCCGGGAAGGCGGCGGGGTCGGCGCCTCCCATCACCGCGCCCGCAGCATCCCACTCGCGCCACCCCAACACTGCTGAGTCCCGGCAAACCGAGACAGCGAGTGGCTCCCAGGGGGCTGCGCCCAACTACTCGGAGGGCGTCCCCAGCCCGCTCGGCTCCCGCCCGGGAGACGCTCTGCAGGGACTCGCGGGAGATCCACGTGTCCCATCACCCCCGGTCGGCGTGAACGAAGCAGGCAGCGGCTTTGTCCCGCGCCCTCCCCGCCCGCTCACCTCTCTGCTGGCACTGCACGGCCACCCAGAGCAGCGAGGCCAGGAGCGCGCCGCCCCAGCGCATGTCGCCGCCGCGCCGGTGCGCTCGGGAAGAAAGGCGCCGCGCTCTGCGCGCCCAGGAGAGCGCGGTCTGGGGCGTCCCCGCTCCACCGTAGCCTCCCGCCCCTCGGGCCCCTGGGACACACCCCCGCCCCTCCCCCGCCCGGCCGCGGAGAGACCCTCCCCCGGGGGAGGGTCCACTTGCTGGTGCG